TTTTTTTTTTTTTTTTTTTTTTTTTTTTCCTCTCATATTATTCTACAAGATGGCTGCCATTTATCTCGCAACTCCAGTCACCCAGAATATCTCCCATTTTTGCGTTTCTGTTTTTATTGTTTCTTTTCTTTTCTTTTTTTTTTTTAATAAACAACACTCTTTATACGTTCTTTATACGTATATTTTTTTCATAAACACGAGCACGCTATTCCTTTTGCCTCGATAAAATCTTTCTTTCTATTCGAAGGAAGGATTTTATTATTCCCTCCCCTCTCACCCTTTTTTTTTATTTCGCAGCCGCTATAAGAAAAACTACTTGTTTCGAGCGGTAGAAGAGTAGAAAGAGTGATGATGAGAGAACATAAGCCGCGACATCGAGGGATTAACGAACTTTTCGACTCGGATGCGAGCGCGGAACGACGTTCTCAAACAAAAGCCGCTTTCCACCTTTTTTTCGCATGAAAATCGCATTTTCTATTATTTGCATTTTTTTCTATCCCTTTTCTGTTATGCACCATGGGATATCTTGGGACCACGTGTGGAATTTTAAAGGATGGAACAGGAGAAAGAAAGATTCCCTGGACAAAAGTTAAGAATTCCAGATAATTCCCGTGAGAATCAGGTTCGAATAAATTCCGACTGGAACGTAAGAGAATCTAACTTGGTTTTTCAAGGAAGTGACAATTTTCCAAGAATGAGAAATCATTGATGTCAGAAGTTTAAATTTTATCTCTTTTGTCTTTAACCAAATAACTATTTCTTCGCCGAGAAATGTCTTTCTTGGCAATTATCTTCGAGCAAACAATCGAGTACTGTGTATACAGACTACGTAACTCAAGCTAACTGTTGTCACAAGGCTTAGATACTGAAGGTGGAGTTAAAAGATGGAAGAACGCGTGAGAACGTGTTGTGTGTACCTAATCTATTTGTCTCTCGTTTGCCAGGGGATTATTTATATCGCAATATTTCATCCAAGTGACATTTAATGTAACTGAAGATTCGAGAACAAAATTTCAATCTTCCGAGATGAATTTAACTATCTAGGAAACTGCAGCTATGAATTAGAAATTAACGTTTATACAATCTTAATGATTTATGAATAACCCTGAAATATAATCTGTCACCAACCTCTTTATATTCCTGGCAATGTATAATTGCATCTAATTTTATAATCGAGTCTAAAAATACGTGTCTATTCGTATGATTATCCTTAAAAGACTTACATAGCAATAACTGTTCGAAAAATAATTTAAAAACTATGAAATAAGCATAATTAATTTATCGAATAATAAAATTTTCTCTCAATAAAAAATTTCGAAAATTATTCTCAAGTGGATACGATTCTTCGGAATATTCTTGAGAATATTTTTGAGAATTGTCCACTCGTAATTTAAGAAAAATCGTTATCTCGTCACATCGAAACAATAATAGTTATCTCGTACATGGAAACATGTCTCATTGGTAAAACCCAAGGAAACGATGAAACGCAATCCATAAAATTTACACACACGTCTTCTTCGAACTTGTAGCAGTAAATTAGTAACGTGGATATCGTTCAAACAGAATTCTTCATCCTCTTCCTCCCCTTATACGATCCAAATATTATTCCATCGTAGTATCTCGCGACTTAGACGCGAT